AAGACAGACTTTGAGTCTTAGTGATAACAAATAGTCAGACTTCAGATGGATGTCTAATTTCATCTGTTGCACAAAGCATTTTAGTTCTTGACTATCTTAAGCCGGACTGTGGTACAATGAATTCTGGGTAAATTAAGGCTTTTCAATATTAAAAAAATGGCCGACCGAGGAACCACATCCAACTGCTCAGCTCTATTTACCCCAGCAGAAAATGTTTGTCTTTTGGAATAATTCAACAGTTACAAGGACGTTTTACTTTGGAAATTCAGCAAAGAGTGAAACAATAAAAAGAAAATGTAATTTGAAAAAAATGGCTGCGGTCTCTAAAAACTCTTTACCTTCTTATTTCTCTCTACATAACAATGTTAGCCAACCACAAATGATGTGCATCATTGCAGGTGTCATTGATTGTTACCATGGTAACATTGGTCTTAGGGGCTGAGCCTGGGGGTAAGGTGTCTAATGTTTCTGGCGTAAAATGAGTCAGTATTTATTTTTGTGAAATGGTTTTACTTGCATTAGACTGATCTATGAGCAAAATGAAGACTGCACCAACACTATAGACTGGTCTTTCAAGAAATATCTTGCAATATGCAATATGTGAAACTGGCTCCTAGTTTTGTCAGGAGATCCTGAGGTACAACTGGGATTTTAACTGAGTGCGACCTCCTGCTGTGGTACACCTGCAGAGGGCCTAAGGTGTTGTTTCAGTGGTTATAAACTCTGTGTGGAGAATGCTGGCTGTATGAAGAGTTTACTGATCAGAAAGGTCTTGTTGGTTTTGTTCATCATGAAGGTCAGATTGGGCTTTTCCACAAACCAGAATACCAGTATCACCAGTGCCACTAGTGTAAGTAGTATTAATACAATGAGATGAAGTAAGAGCATATTATAATGTTACAGCAGTAATATAAAGACAATAATATAATAATATTAGATTGATAATAGTTCCATGAAGTGGATCTTACAGTATCAACAGTGCCACTTCTTAGCCTAAGAATTAAAAGTTTGTATTAAACGTCTCTGACGAACATAACATCCTTCCACAAGTTCAGATCTTTGGACAGAGAATGAAAGAGGGCCCTATCTTACACCTGGCTACGCTAGTTTCAGACTGACACAGTAGTCATTTTCCCGTCCAGCGCCCATGTTGTTTAAACAGCAAATACACTTGTGCTTATCTGTGCGCCCCTGGTCGTGTTGGTCTTAAAATTAGATGTGGTCAGGCTCATTGTTGGTGCATTGCTATCTTGAGACAGCAGGAAGCGGTTGCGCAATTAACCAACAAAAACCTGGTCTAAGGTCAGTAGCGCAGTTTACTGTTATTTTAAAGGTGCATTATCAAAAGAGTAATATGTGCCATCCAAGCGGCAACCTCTGAGGCAAAAACATGAAGCCAACACGGAAGTACCAAAAACTGCACTTCTTCGATTAGCCGCTTGAGTCTGGCTCCAACAGTGAGTCAATCCCCATAGACTTATGTTATAATGCCCAACTTTACAGCAGAAATAAACATGTTTACAGTCCGGTACAAAAAACTGTACGAGGGGTGAATTTTTATATAACTCAATAATTTAAATTTTACTGAGGCTTGAAGTTCCCATTTTTGGATTATCCTGGAGTTTGGCGTAGTCATGGTACTGGCAAGATGGCGATGCCGGAACGGCCCACTCTGTGCTTCAAACCCGCTCTTCACAAACCTATGGGTGACAGTCTACGTCCATCTTTATTTACAGTCTATGATGCCAACATAGGTGAGAGCACAGAGCGCGTACAGTCTGCCTCTTGCGCACAAGCACAGTGAGCTGAAAATGACTGAAATAGATGTTGGGATGAGTCAGGTGGATCATTACAATACAGCCTCAGAGGGTCGGAGCATTCTTTGTGACATGTTGTGTGTTGAATAACTTTGTCATGTGTTATGGATGTCTCTTGCACGAGGCTCTGCAGAGAAGCTTCTTTCTTACTACCTGGTAAATCCTCCACAGCGTTTCCCATTTATCACCTAAATTTATCACCACAGTTTCATAATGAAGATTTATTCTCATATCATCATATCACATCAAATATTTCTAACGTTGTGATTTCTGCCGTCGCTTCACTGTAGAGCTGTGAGCAGAGCACTGATTCCCTCAGACCTTCTTTTCCCCTCAGAGTGCACAGAGCTGCTGCCTGTGTCAGCACCGGACTAACTGGTCAGGACTGGACTCACTGGTCAGGACTAGACTCACTGGTCAGGACTGGTCTAAGTGGTCAGGACTGGTTTTACTGGTCTGGACTGGACTCACTGGTCAGGACTAGACTCACTGGTCAGGACTGGTCTCAGTGGTCAGGACTGGTTTTACTGGTCAGGACTGGACTCACTGGTCAGGACTGGACTCACTGGTCAGGACTAGACTCCCTGGTCAGGACTGGTCTAAGTGGTCAGGACTGGCTTTACTGGTCTGGACTGGACTCTCTGGTCAGTCACAGTATGTGATCACCTAACCGCAGACAGAATCTAACTCTGTGTGAAACACTGTACCATTATAATAACAATACGACAAGGTGCAGCTCACCTGGCTTTTAAAGGGAATCTGGAGATGGCACTGTGATTGGTTTATTGCATGTTATGCTCAAAATCCCATGAATAATTAAGAGATTAAGTACAATTCTTTTGAAATGTGCCTGGAGCAGAGACTGCTGGTAAAACAGCAAAAAAGAGTTTGACACACCCTAAATGCCCATGCACTTCAGACCATGAGCTTTGGATCATTAAAATAGAGCCCAGAGTGTCTTTGTCCTTCAAACATTTAGTACAAACATCTGGAACATCAGCAGACATAGAGTTCAGAGTCAATATGAGATCTGCTCGGAGTGATTTCAGTTCACTATCTATTATATTAACCATCTATCATGCTTCTGTGCCACTCAGTGGAGTGGAGGGTTGTTTTAGAACCAGTGTTGTAGGCTACGGTAAAAATATCACACTTCTGGGTGGAAGGGGGTTTGGACAGATCAACACTGAGGTTCTGTTTAGAACATTAACAGTATATCAGGAGTACTGAATTAAATCATGTCTGGTTGGTTGGAGCCTTCTTGCTAGTCTTCTCCACATCAATCCCCAAGACACTACTAAATAATAGACCAGTAGACCAGTAGACTAGTAGACTAGTAGGTGCTAATACTAGTGGAAAGAAAAAATGTGAGACTGATCATTTGCATCAAACTATTTATCAAAAAAAAATCTGTCAACAAGCACTGTGGATCAGACAGTGCAAAACCCAGACAGATTCCCAGTGACATAAAACAGTTGCTGTGTGTGTGTCTCACCTTGTTGTCTGGAAAGGACACAGCTGGAGGACTGGACCTGTTGAGGACTTCCCGGCTGCTGATTTTCCTCATACGACTCCTGATGTCTGGACTGTACCTGCGCAAGATCTACACACAAACACACAAACACACATGCACGTGCACACACACACACACACACACACACACACACACACACAGTACACACACACACCAGTACACACACACACACACACACACACACACACACACACACACATAAAGTACACACACAGATCAGTGGACAGGACCATGGTAATGGTGGGTGTGTCAGTACTGTGACCTTCATTCGGTCTATTACGATACACTTTAATAACCTGACTTTGGTATAATATTCTCAATCATTTGTTCCAGAGTGAAAGGGAAGTAAAAATCCTCCATAGACCAGACCGTCTCATTTTGGTTTGGTGTTCGTGGTCTACGAAGGGCCACACCTTCGAAGGATGTGGCCCCTCAAACTATAATAACAGTGTAGCTTCAGTTACCTCTCCTGGAGTCAAACTGGACATCAGGACTAGTTTTTACTGCCCTTCTCTGTGTGACTGTCAGTCAGGGTGCACATGAGAGTCTGCTGCGTGTGTGTGTGTTACCGCGGATAAGTACAGGCAGTTATACCACCGCTGTTACTTCACCACTGGTCTATTGTCTCTACTCACAGTTAATCCCATTCAAATCTCCACATGGTCTGGTGGTGATGAAGGGTAGACTGCTCTTTCTTCTTCTCCTGGTAATCCTTAAACTGGCCCTAAACACCACACAGGCCAAATTTCTTTCCCAGTCTGACCATCACATCACTATGACTGATGGCCAGGATGTACACTCATACATACCTACAGAGTGTGAGCAACAGGAAGCTGACTGTGGGTCTCTGGTGTCATTAATAACATAAGTTTTCTGAATGTTACATACAGAACCTTTAAAATTGATCCCATTGACTTGTGGTGTCTGGACAGTGTCTACACATCTCTGATAGACTGTCTATACACCTCATTATGTTTGTAAGAGGTGCTGGTGGTTTACCTGGTAACCAGGTAACTCAGGTGGCATGCTACAGTGTATTATAGAAGTTAACACTGACTGTTGTGTCCTGTCATGTTAGGTTTGGAGTTGTAAGTCCTCATCTGAACTACAGATGGCAGCCGAATGCAGAGAGAGGTAGGGAGATCGTGTGTGTATGAGAGTCTGACATGTCCATAGAGTTGACATGGACATACAGTATGGATCACATCAGGTACTTGACCTGAGAGGTCTGGATGGTTCAGAGAGCAGCAGACCAGCACCAGTGTTAATCCACCTGTATGTGTGTGTGTGTGTGGGTGTGTGTGTGTGTGCGTGAGAGACCTCCTCAGCTGTGACAGGTTCAGATGAGCGACTGATGGCAGAGATGTGTAGTGTTTCCACATCAGGCTCGTTGTCGGTGTAGGCCCCGCCCTCATCAGCGGTGTCGTCCAGGTCAGAGGTCAGCCGGCTGTCCATGCTGAGGTAGTCGGCGGACATGGCGGACAGAAAGGACAGACGCTCCACGTCCTGGCAGTCCAGATCAGTCTCTACTCCCTCCAGCTAGAAGAGACACATGATGGATCTTGGGTGTACAGGAAGGAAGGATGGACAGACGGATAGCAACGAGAGAGAAGAAGAAGAGACAAAGCCGAGCTGTAGAGCACTACTGACAGGAAGTAGAAGACACACTGAACATTGTGCACACAACAGGTAGCAGGAAGACCACAGTCAGTCCACTTCACCAGACTGAACAAGAATAAATAAGATCTACTCTCAGTGTCCAGTTTATAAGGAACACCAGCTAAAGCTAGGTCAGTCTGATCTACCAGTCCTGACTCCTCCTCCATCAAGACTGTCGCCACCTCTCTGTATAACACACAGACCAACAGCATCACAACTTGCAGCCTCTAAAAGACCATCCAGCTGAATCAGCACCTCTGATCCAGTCTCAGGACTGCTGGACCTGAAGTGAACTCTGTGCTCATACTGACATTCCTGGACTGAAGTTGTGAAGTACATGTATTTAACACATGATCACATAAATTGAGTGTCTATGTATAAATTTTAATAGAAACGCAGGTTTAACCCCTCATTTTCTGGAGCTTTATAGGCTGGGTAGTTTGGTCGTCTCTCATATCAAGTATGACCACATCTTTATCACGAGTCTGTCTGCTGAGAGCTGGGGTCATAGTGACGTGGATTTACACTGTGAGTCAGCTTCTCATGACATGTATAAATAAACCTAATCTGCCTGACAACAGAGTGAAAAAAGAAATCATACTAGTGTCAGACAGAGTTTAAATGTACAATCAAACCTAGAGCAGTATATTTAGATGTGAAAGTCGACATAGTGTAAACATTAATCCTCAGACATCTGTTATTATAAATGTCCTTTAGAGTTACAGTAGAGTTACAGTCCCACACTCTGTGCGTGCGTGTGTGTGTGTGTGTGTGTGTGTGTGTGTGTGTGTGTGTGTGTGTTACCTTGCCGTCAGAGACCCACACAGCCTGCATCTGCTGCTCTCTGATGGAGTCTTTGATGCTCCCGTACCAGGCGTCGTTTGCTGAGTTCAAGTCGATGGTGGCTGGATGAGAAAACCATCCAACCTCAGCGAACACACTTCAATAGGGTAAATAACTAGCTGCTACTGTACGAATGTTACACCTGACTGACTGTGTATGTGTGTCTGTACCAGTGAATAAGTGGCAGCAGGTCTTCCTCAGTTTGACGGCCTGCTCGTACAGCTTGCGGGCACTGCGGTTGGAGCTGGGGATGATCCTCTGTCTCATGGCCTTGATGCCATGCTTGGTGTCTGGGTTGAAGAAGATGACGATGGGGTACCACTGGGTGTAGTTCAAGGTGTCCACCGCCTTGGGGGTCACATCCAGCAGCGCATGCTTATCCTGTGTGGTGTGAGGAACAGGGATACAAGGTGATGGAGGTCTGACCAAACCAGCTGTGGTTCAGCTGACAATGGGTCTCCTTTATTTTATCCAGATGACTTCAGATCAGGGGAGGAGTGTGTGTGTGTGTGTGTGTGTGTGTGTGAGTGTGCGTGCGTGGCTACCTGCTCAATGATTTGTCGTATGGTGTTTAGACGGACCACACCTGAGGACTTCTCAGAGCCAGCGTCTTTAGGCTCAGTTTCTAACAGAAAGCAAACAATGAGAAGTCATTTACACACCACAACACCACACAGGGAGGAGACTCACACACACATGGAGACACATACATATACGCGCACACGCACGCACACACACACACACACACACACACACACACACACACACACACACACACACACACACACACACACACACACACACACACACACACAGACTCACTGGCAACAACAAACAAGTCGGGCATCTCAGAGGCCAGTCTCTCATTAGCAGCGTCAGCGATGGGGCCGAACAGAACCACAGGACGCCGGAAACCAGCTGCAATGACACACAGTTGGTTACATTTCTGCTCACAGATCATAGTCTCAGACAAGTGAAGTGGTCTCAAACAGAACCGGACCAGTACTGTATCATGTACCTGTGAATAGTTACAATGGTATGATAATATTAGTCATGCTGATATATCAGTGAAATGACCCAGCACATACAAACGTTTTCAAATTTCATGAATCAAGAGAAAAACCTAATCTAATCGGACAGTGTCAGGTTTTGTTTGTGACCGTGCTGTGATAAGAAAAATGTCTTCTGTTAAAACTGGATCACTTCTCTAGAAAACTCTGCTTTTAACCTAAATCACTCAGAAGAACTAAAGAATATCAGTAGAACTAAATATATCAGAAGAACTAAATATATCAGTAAGTGATGCCTCAAGTCTATATCTCCTACAAATGGAGACCTTGACTCTACGAGACCCTGAGGAGGCCCTGTGGAACCTGGTACTGAGAATTTAGAGTGCAGCCTCTGTGGACCATCCCGCCATAGATCACCCACCCTCTCGGAGCACCACTCGTTCATATGCTGGGAAGCGGGTGGCCAACGTCTGACTGGTCAGGTTCTCTCTGCTTTTCCTTAGGTCCTTCCTCTTCACTGAGCGTTGACCTCGCAGCCTCCAGAAGTCAGCTCGATCGCCCACCACAGCTTTATGAGAGCTCTGCACACTGGACATCTGCTCCGCTCTGACAGGGAGGACAGACACCTGTCAGACTATAGTAATCAGACTGTAGTCATCCGACGGTTGTCATCAGACTGTGGTTGTCAGACTCTAGTCATCAGGATGTTGATGTCAGACTGTAGTCAGACAGTAGTTTCAACTAGAAAAAAATAGAAATGTTGAATGTGCCTGCTGCTTGATGCGTGTACTTCACTCCTCATGTTTCAATCCGTACAAAGGACGTTACTTTCAGTTTCATTCATGTCATAGAGACTTATCCTGACACTGACCTCAGAAAAACCATTTGAAGCTGTCACAACCGGCCAAAATATCCTCACACTGATGGAGTCAAACACAAATTTGTCCCCACAACTATAGCAAGACATGTATACACACATGTACATGCCCTAACAAAAGTTGATCTGCAATAAAGCTATAACACTATATCCCCATATAGATGATAGCTTCTAAGATAAAACTTTTATAACCTCCCTTACTTCTTACCTTTTTGAGACTCTTATTTAGAAAATGTATCCATATTGCAGAGGTATGCCATCTCTGTGACATGGATGCACTTTCAAAATAAGTGTCTGCAAATGTCTATGCTTCTGTGTTTGGCAGTATAAATTGCATAAGGTTTTGTACAACAGAGCCAATAATTCCTTCTTGCCATGTTGATAGGTAGGTTAATCCAAACTGTGGAGATGGTGTTTCTGTGTTTCTGTCAATATATACAGTATATATGTATGTATGTGTGTGTGTGTGTGTGTGTGTGTGTGTGTGAGTCTGGCTATGTGTGTGTGTGTGTGTGTGTGGCTGTGTTTATAAACATCACAGAGATCAAAGAGTCTCTTAACGAGCTGTTTCAAACACCTGTGTCTAGCTGAAAGACACAGAATTGTCACAGATCTGGGTGTGATTTTGGCTCGGCGAGCCTCTCAAACAGCTGCTGTTTCTTAAAAAAATGGTAACTCCACCAGAGCGGCACAAGACCTTTGTGCTCCTGAATTTGTATTGCAGTCAATGGGAGAGGTGACTTTGAGGCTCACTATTGAAATTCTGTGTTTGTGTTGTCTGTGTCAAGTGTCTGTGCTTAGGTAGACACTTTCTATGAAACAGCACAAACATTCAGTGCAATACACACCCATTATAATGTCTGAAACGGTCTTAAAATGACACAAAATGTAAACTGTGATTTTGTTAAAACTGCAATAGTTTTCAAAATACCGATTTAACCCTAAAGAGTGTCAAGTCTTGTGACCTGTTTAACGTTTCAACAATTTTTCTATGTTGAACTATGACGCAGAAGTAGAGCTCCAAAGAGGGCTGGGTTTGGTTGTTTTGAAGACGTCTCTCCATCACTCTTTATGAGAATTTTTTCACCTTTGATCACCATTTATGTCGTCTATTGTATTGCAGGCACATAACTAGATGAAGACAGTCTCAAAAAAGCCTGACCCCACATGGAGCAGTCGGAATGATGGTGACAGTCGTGAACCAGCATTAAGCAAAAGAAGAAGAACTTTTCTTCTTTCCCTGGTTTGACTGTAACAGTTGACTATTCAGTGATGCTGATCAATAGGAGCACAGAGATCTCTTCAGCTGTAAACGCTGAGAGAAGAGATAGGAGTGAACCTGTAACCTTGTGACCATCACCACCAGGATTCACAACACACACACACACACTTCACCCAGTGACATGAACGGTTCCAGCTTCACTGTCATTTACAGAATGAACAGAGAAGTCTGTCCCTGTACTAGGGTTGTGCCGATGGACGATGATATTGGTGATCAACGATCATCAGAACGCCGATTGCTCATGCTTTTGCAAATGTCAAGACGATATTTGACTTATTACCCCTTTAATGTAGTAACTTATTATTATTTTTAGTATTAAATGAATACCAAATTTAAATTGCCCTGCCACAGTTTCACGTATATAACAGCATATAACCAACACGCGCGCATCTGTAGTTACTGCTGTGAAGAGCGGAGGAGATTGAAAGACAGAAAGAACACGTTATTTAGTTTGGTTTCATATCCTGCTGCTTTTTTTGGTGGTAAATAGAACTACTGAACAGTCAGTTTTAAGCACTTGAAGATTTGATCATCACTAAAGCATATTTCATGTAGAGAGGTAATAAAAAAATAGATGAAATGGTCAAAGTTGTCATATTGACATTTAAGGTGTACTGATTGATTTCCAAACATCAATCATGCATTGAATAACATGCAAGAAAACATTCCACCTTAAAAGTGTCCGATAGCTGCTGGTAGTCTCTAAACTGCACAGTAATTTAAATGGTTAATTAGTAAAGATGAAAAGACAGAAAACATCTTTTCATTCATCATTCAATCATGATGAAACTGTAATAATGAAATAAATTTGTGAGTTTTTTTTAATAAAGATCAGCTCTACCTGTGATTAAGACAGAGCAGAGCAGCGTAATCGCTTGTTGGGGAGAAATACGCTTCTGACATGAACAGCTGTGTAGTCTATCCCCTCCTGTTCAGCTCTGCTTTGTTTAGCTGTAATTCATATTTATTGTGGACCAGTCTGTGACACCTCTTTTAAAACTGCTGTAGAAATAAACTTGACTTAGTTACAAGTTGAATATTTGATATTCTGCATGTAGGTCTTTACAGTACACACCCTTTTCCTCATGTGAACATATGGTGTAGTCAAACCACAGCATAGAACTGGGACATGTTGTCTCCCACCAGAGACTGACTGTTTCTGTAATAACAGCTGTTTCACTGTAATGTTACTGCAGTGCAGCAGAGCTGTGCATCTGTTCTCCTTCTCATTTTAAACATCCCACTCTTCTATTTTACAGTCTTTAACAGTATGATACACACAAACATATAGTTATGGTTGAATTCCTGGCACTGTACAGTCACCTCTTATTCTATTTGATTTGTTGGTATTTAACCTTACCTAGAGGTGCCACTCAAACACACTGGACATACAGCTGACAGGGGACATTATGCTCCTCTTAGGTTGCTGTGTGTGTGTGTGTGTATGTGTGTGTGTGTGTGTGTGTGTGTGTGTCACAGTCATGTGGTGTCATGGTGACCTTACATCACTCAGACTGTAGTGTAAGACTGTGGTCAGCAGCTGGACTCAGACACATAGCATCACTGCTGTGTAGAGGCAGGATCAATAGTGAAATATAATCAACAATCTGACACAACAGTTAATGTGTTTGTGTGAGTATTTTTCTAATGGTAGAAACTACAAGTTACATACAGTCATCCACAGGCCACCTAGCACTGTGAACTGTTACATCACCTGCTTCACCCAAGAACACCTGCTACCTGTCCTGGTCCACAGCTATTCACTGAGTCAGGTCAGCTGGCCGCCCTGTTGAATGTGTGTACTTCTAGTTACAGTAAGTTATATGATGGGGTTTATGATGGGGTATTTTCCTGCCAGTGACCTCATCTCAAAATCAGGTGTTGACATTTATCACAGAGGCTGGAGTTTTAGAAAAACTGTCCCTGGTCTCCTTGAGGATGGGGTTGGGAGCTGATGATGATGATGATGGTATGGTTAATCCTTCATCAGGGGAGGGAGAGTTCTGTCTGAGGGACACACCTTTATGTCTTTCTAAAGAGGGACCAGCTGACAGCCCTACCTGCTCTTATTGGGGATGATACCCTTCTCTAGCAGCTGCTTGTCCTTGCCAACACGGATTGCCAGCCAGTTGCCAAGCTTGCCATCATATAGGGTGTCCACCACCTTAAAGATGTCCCCCCGACTGAAGGCCAAGCTTTGAGGAGTCTCCTTCTCATACTCAAAGTGGGTCCGGATGAAGAAGGAATCTCCACGCCCCGACAGTAAGATGTCGTTATAAACTGGACACACAAAAAAGTGAGAGATAAGAAGGAATGTACACACACACACACACACACACACGCACACGCGCGCACACACACACACACACACACACACACAAACACACACATACCCAATACTACACTACAGCACTAAATGTGGATTAATCTGCCACTGAAACTAGTCCCCTACATGTCCTCATACTTGGTGCAGTTGTAAGCACCAAAGAGCTAGTATGTTGACCTTTGATCTTCTTACATGCACGGTTGTTAAAGGTCAGGAATGAACTTCCATGCACCAGTTTTATTTGCACAATCAAAACAATGTGCACATCTTTGTCTTACTGTTGTATGGAAATACTCTTTACAGCCTGCTCCAGGCTCCTGCGAGGCTTTCTGATTTGATATGTGTGGTCCGACAAAGCACTGACCCAAAAGGACCAACAGTCATACTGACTACAATCCACTGCTTCTGAGGTTGGCTGCACACACAAGGCTGACTTTATACTGTGGATTCAGCTGCAGCAGACATTGAGTGTACTTTAATTTCATACACTAATAAACACATCAAACACAGTCCCCCTTCTTGTAGTCGAATGCTCCTCCAACAACCTCACAGACCACAATCCTGTGAGTCTACAGGACATTTACAGAAGAAGAAGAAATACAGTGTAGGTTACTGTTGAGATATCATTCATGTTTTAATAAATAAAAAGCATGAAGGCAAAGCAGTCATTACTGAAACACTCCTTTTCTTTCAAGAAACATAAGTCTGGAGGTAGTGTTAGTCTGAAGGTAATGTTTTTATTAAGCTCTGCGGTCCATCATATTTTATCCAGGACTTTGTAAATCTATTTGAAACTAGTCTCAAGCTAGTGGTTTACAAAATGAGGTTGCACATTTAAAACTTAAAGGAGTAGTTTGACAGTTTGTAATATATTGCAGAGAGTCAGATAAGACTATTGATACCACTCTCATTAGCGTCATTAATTTGTGTGATTAGTGTAAAATGGAGGAGACAGGAGCCAGTTAGCTCAGCTAAAAACAAAGGTGTAAAAATGACATTAAGTGTGAGATTCTTAGAATTTCTCCTCCATCTTCCTGGAGTCTTGTCACCACGGTGAAGCCAGACTCTTTGGAGACTCAAGAAGGAGATGGACAGAGAAATAGTCCACACACTTCATGAATCATATTAGTAGCAAGCTGCTCCTGTTAGTTGGTTCAGTGAACAGTTGTACCTGACAGTTAGCAGGTTTGAATACTGTTAGGTCTCCCCAGACCTGTCATTCTCCATCCACCCGCCAGAAGTCCCTGGACTTTCTTCCTGTCCCCATATCTATCTGCTCACCTGTTTCCCATCTTCAGTCACTTGAAAACCCAGACTTAAACCTGAAGTTATCTTGATAACCTCAAGTGCTGCTTCATGGTACAGACCTCAGGTCATTGCTCTGCTTCACTGTCTGATGTGTTTTTGCTTATTTAGTTTTTTGAATAAAAAGGCCAAATCCCTTTTTTTCAGAGCCACATGCTCCAGGGTCAACATGCTCATTACCTCACACAGTTCGTGTTGCTCTTTCTCACTGATGTGTTCTTGAGCAGATCTGTGTGGGCGCATGTGTGTCACGGTTGGCTGAACCAAAACTAGCCTGATCTGGCCTAAAAGCCTTAGGGGGGCCAAGCTGGTATCTCCATCATTACATGGAAACATCAGTGAGAGAGCGACAGAGTAATGGTGCTGAGGTGTGAGTGTGGCAGCTGGCAGAGCATTGTGGGAGAGGACACTGTGTTCTGGGATTAACACCTTCCATTATTCTATCGTTTCTCTCCATCACTGCTGACTCATCACATACAGGCCCAGACAGAGGGACCCTGTGGTTCTACGATGCTACTATCAAGAAATCCTATAAAACCACTAAAACTACATGACACCAAAATGTCTCTCAGTGCTCTCTGACTTCCTGCGCTTTGGCTCTCAGCTCCAGCACCACTGGCTCCTACTGAAGATGGAAATCTTTAAAAACACCTCACATACAAACAACACTCAGTAATCTCCTTTAAAAGCTGCTCACTTGGGTTTTTATCAAACGTTACACAAACAACAGGAAATTAGTTAGGGACTATTTTCAGTGGCGAATTGATCCAGATTTGGTGCTCTAGTTTGTATTTGTGGCGGCAGTATGTGTTCATGGTGATGATCCGTTACAGTAGATGGACTAAAACTGTAAAAAATAAAATATATAAAATTTGTCCTGAGAGTGACACTCAAGTGAAAACAATAAGGTGATGAAGATCAAAGGGACATTTTTGTCTGAAGAGGTAAAAGAGGGAAGATTTCAGGGTTCATCTTCCAAGGAGCATGAATGTGCTAAACACACTGTGATATGATGAAATACTGAAGGTCAGACTGAACAGCTGTATCATTGGTCAGAGCTGAATTTTGATGTAAATGTCATTGATGTGAGAAATGTGACTGTGTCTTTAGATGTTTTACCATCAGGTTTGCTCTGGGCCAGGATAGTGACCAGTTCCCCTTTAGGAATCTCCAACAGGAAGAGCACCGCTTCTTCTCTCACTACACCCTGAAAATCAACGTTGTTCACCTTCAACACAAAGGGCACAATAATTAGGACATACTCATTATTCTGTAAACTCTAATTCACATTGTAATTTGAACTACTGTATGTCTTCTGAAATGAGTTCTGTCTGGACTGGCACCTTTAAGATCTGGTCTCCGATGCGCAGGCCCTCCTCCTCAGCAGGACTCCCCTCTTGAACACCAGCGATGAAGATGCCGACATCATTTCCTCCCGCCAGTCTCAGTCCAACACTGTCCCCCTTCTGGAAATTCACCATCACTGTGTTCGGCCTGCAGGAGGAGAGATCCACGTCACCATTAACAACATGGTCCAGGTTCACTAACACGAGAGATCCATACAGATCTGGTCCCTCTGGTAAGGACCTGAATTGGGGAATCAAAGTGTTTCTATACCATACAACACTGATTCATGCAGCTCCCAGCTACAGTGACCTGTCTGTTCCTATGTGTTTCACAGAGGCTCACATACTGTATACACACTATATACCAGTGGTGCCGGCAGCTGTAAACCTGTACACACTGTACATTTTTTTATGATTTTGTTTGTTTTTTTAACATCTTGAAAATAAAATTGTGACAACAGGAGATCCTGTCTTATTTTTTGCTGCATCCACTCAGTAACGTTATGGATCTAGATTGAAGAGGAGAGCAGGAGATAAAGGAGGAGTTTGCTGCTTTGATGCCCAGTGTTGACACTGCATGTGGAGCACTGATGAACATCCGTCATGATATTGAATTGATGCAGAGGCCGATGTGCGAGAGTTTGACGCAGAATGAATTTCAAACAGACAGGCACAACGATTTCATTTCATTGGCTCATGTGGTTTTTCTGGTTGTTTATTGTAGCAGCTTGGTTTGGTCTTGATCTTGCGTATTGTTATTTCTATCTTTAGTCGTTAGTTAGGCAACTGTTCTTATGATGAAGATGCTAAATGAGGAAATCTGTTGCTTCATGACGACTTTTACTGCACGATTCTCTGGGATATTCAATATAGTATATGATAGTACATTGTAGCCTGTTGTTTTTCAGGCCTGTTGGTTGATCTTTGAAATGCATGTGGTAGCTAATCAGAGCTTTATTGTGGTGTTGTGTCTTAACTTTGGCGTTAAAATACACAAATCAATCTCTTTCTCTCTCTTTCTCGCTCAGTCATTCGATGAGTAGACATGTGTACCTGTGTGGGAAACCTAAAGGTAGTGGACAGGCGGTTCTTATGCATACTATGAAATATAGTCCTTCCGTCGCCACTGGTATATACTGTATATAAAGTATGAGGCTAATCACACACAAGTCTGTGAAGGCATCATTTACATCCTGCTCTCATATCAACATGTTTCCTTCAAATTACCAATAAATATAAAAGAGGAAATGAAAACTCACCCGTAGATCTTTTCATCCTCTGGACTCGGTCGGAGGAGGATCTTGGGCGTGGTGGTTACAGAGACTGTAATAAGAGAATCAAACTGTTAATATGTTATATGATCACAGCTACCAACAACAGCTCAGGTCAGCGCAAGTTAAAGTGAACAAAAAGGGTTTCTATTTAGACTCCAACTGGAGAGAACAGGTGATGCAGAACTGTCAGACTCTACAGAGACAGCTCAGACTGAACAGTCAAATCCTGGACCAGTAGTTAACAGACCTGTGAGCTCACAGAGCTGAAACAGGTGCAGGATGTGATTGTAATGTGATGCTTTTGATCGTAGTAATGGACCTACAGAGAAATCTGCATTAGCTTGATTGTATGGAGTCTTCAGCCTCTTATTGTTCATTGTCTCAGCTTCACAACCTACAACTGATCACCCTTAAAGATCCACTGTCCTCTTCTGTCTTCTACTGTCCTCCATTGTCCTCTGCTGTCTTCTACTGTCCTCTACTGTCTTCTACTGTCCTCCATTGTCCTCTGCTGTCTTCTACTGTCCTTCACTATATTCTACTATATCTAGACACCCTCTGTCTAGATCTAGGTTCCTTGGCTCAATACCTAAAATCCAACATTACTAACTTGGGAGTTAAGGTGGACTTTGACCTCAGACTTGACAATCAGATCAAGACAGTTGTGAAGGCAAGTTTTTACCAGTTGAGGCAGCTGGCCAAAATAAAGCCAATTCTTTCAAAGCAGCACTTTGAGACAGTAATCCACGCCTTTGTCACCACACGGCTGGATTACTGCAATGCACTTTATGCGGGGGTTAGTGGGTCCTCCATCAACCGTCTCCAGATGGTACAAAATGCTGCTGCACGTCTTTTAACTGGCACACGCAAATATGACCACATTTCCCCCATTTTAGCCTCACTTCACTGGTTGCCCATACATTTTAGGATTCATTTTAAAATTCTTTTATTTGCTTTTAAATCTCTCAATGGTCTCGCCCCTCCCTACCAATCTGAATTGCTGCACCCATATTCTCCCACCCGCTCTCTCAGGTCAGCTGATCAGCTGCTCCTAAGGGTGCCAAAACGAAGCGCAAGCTGTGGCAGCCCCTAAAATGTGGAACGATCTGTCTCTGCACATTAGACAGGCGTCTTCCTTTTTAAATCCCTTCTTAAGACCCATCTCTTTTCCATGGCCTTTGACACCCTGTAAGATGTGATTTTATTTTATTGTTTTATCTTATTTTATGTTATTTTTTGTTTTCTCTTATTATATATCTGTTTTTATTGATGTTTTATGTCTTTTAATTTATCTTGTGTTTATAATTTTATCATGTACAGCACTTTGGTACCTTCTGGTTGTTTTTTAAAGTGCTTTATAAATAAAGCTGGATTGGATTGGATTGGATACTATCCCCCACTGTCCCCTTCTGTCCTCTGCTGTCTTCTACTGTCCTCCATTGTCCTCCACTGTCTTCTACTGCCCACTGTCTTCTACTGTGCCCTACTGCCTTCTACCGTCTTCCAATGTCCTCCACTGTATTCTGCTGTTCTCTACTTTCCACTGTTTTCTATTGTCCTCCACTGTCTCCTACTGTCTTCTACTACTCTCCACGGTCCTCTACTATCTTCTACCGTCCTCTACTATCCCCCCATGTCTTATACTGCCCTCTACTGTCCACTACTGTCTTCCACTGCCGTCTACTGTCTTTTACTGTCCTCTAATGTCTTCTACTACTCTCCACTGTCCTCTACTATCCTTCCATGTCTTATACTGTCCTCTACTGTCTTTTACTGGCCACTACTGTCTTCCACTGCCGTCTACTGTCCCTTACTGTCCTCTGTTGTCCTCTACTGTCTTCTACTGACCCCTACTCTAACCTGCTGTCCTCTACTCTCCTCTACTGTCCACTACCTGCTCAGCAGACAGACACTATCAGAGAGCAGCTGGTGAACATAGTGGAGCAAATTTTGCAGCTAAGATGAGCAGGTGGAGACCAAACTCTGAGCTAAAAGAGAGGGAACACTGGCCCGAGTTCTGGTTTCTGCTGCCCCCCTAAATGCATCAATTAAAGCAGCTTTACATTTCACATTTGGTACATAAAACAAGGGATGGTCTTATGTTCCATCCTGTAAGTTCTTGGTGAGTTGTAGTTGTGTGTGTGGTATTTGTTAATATGAGGAGTGTGACGTGGATCATAACCTGGAGGCTCCTCGGTGTCAGCTGCAGCATGGGGGTCTTCAGGAACTCTGAATGGTGAGGCCATAGCTGACATCATGGCTGTCGTCATGGGTTCTTCCCTGTTACACACGCACGCACGCACGCACGCACGCACACACACACACACACACACACACACACACACACACACACACACACCAGTTGGTCTACACTCACTGACATCATGCCCCTGCCGTAACCTTAACTATAGCAACTAAATGCTGAACCCCAACCTGAACCTGATTCTAATCTGAACCTTAAACCTGGTTTTAACCCTCAGACACGCCTCTTATTTGACCACTCACAAACACATTGATACTGAACGTGTCAGTAAAATGTTGGTTTCCACCAGAATACCTGATGTTTCAGTTCAATCTCCACCTGTACTGACTCAACACTATTAAAGGGCTCCCCCAGCCTCCTCCTGGTGACTCTGCTGTTTCTAACCCCCCCCCCCCCAAGCTACATCCATCCTACCTGGGGTTGTCTCTGTCATTGGAGGAATGGGAGGACAGGTCAGACTGGCGGGACCTCCTCTCCTCTGGGGGAGAATAGGAATGGTAGGACTCCATCTCTGACATGTCTGGCAGACAGACAGACAGACAGACAGACAGACAGACAGACAGACAGACAGACAGACAGACAGTTAGATGCAAAGGCTTCTTTTGGACAAAATCCCCCCACCCAAATTGCAAGCCCACCACCACCACCAGAGAACAGTAGCCTTAGGAAGCCCAGACACCAGCTGATTTACACATAGGACAGAGTGAGGACGTTGTCAGAATCATGAGGACAAACAGATTCTCAAGATAAAAGCAGCTTTCATTCAAACTCACTGAATCCACAGAGAGAATCAGAACAGTCCCAATGTTTTCAGATTATCTGCTGGTGCACTTTGAAAATCAGTTTCCATACCATGTAAATATGATGATTAACAATGGCTCCAATCCAGAACAGTTATAATCCTTAAGACTTCAGTCTTGGTTGGTTGTGTGACTCCTGTGTTAGTGGTGATAACAGCATGTGTTTTAATAACACAACCTCACAGCTGTAAACAAAGAGCACCAGAAAACAACTCCTTTACAACACAACAACATAAAAACAGTCATACTGTGCAGTGGCCATAACCACAACTGAAGGTCACATGATGACCACCGTTCATGAATGTGTAGTTTTCAGACACAATTACTGAGTGATTAGTCTATCAAAAAAAAAACAAGAAGTCACCAGGAAGTCAATAGGAAGTCAGCAGGAAGTCAACAGGAAGTCAGCAGGAAGTCAACAGGAAGTCAGCAGGAAGTCAATAGGAAGTCAGCAGGAAGTCAACAGGAGGTCAGCAGGAAGTCAACAGGAAGTCAGCAGGAAGTCAGCAGGAAGTCAGCAGGAAGTCAATAGGAAGTCAGCAGGAAGTCAACAGGAAGTCAGCAGGAAGTCAACAGGAAGTGAGCAGGAAGTCAACAAGTAGTTAGCAGGAAGTCGGCCTGCTCAACCAGTCACACACATTCAGGACATGTAGAAGAAATACTTTGACTTCAGACACAGTCAAGCAACATGTCACATTAACTCTTTCTGAGCATTCTGAGGTCTTTCCTAACTGAGGGATGTGCTGCTGTAACAAAGCTGTTTTCCTGTGAGGATCAATAGTTTTCTGATTCTGACAGAGACAGACAAGACATGATGAGTTGAACATCATCTGCTTTCATACATACATATTTCAAATAAAGATTGAAACTCAAGCTGCTTTTAAGCTGCAGAAGCTTCAACAATTTATTCAGCACTTTGTCTGAAGCTTAGTGATGCCTTCATGTTATAAGGGGCAGTTTCATTAAACTGCCACCTCGACCTCTCTCAGACTCAGACCACACCAGAGGGTCTGTCTGGCGTCAGAACACCTTGTGCCGTAGTGAACATACATCAAACACTGTAGAGTTACTGTATATGCAGAAGTTTTGAGGAGTCTGTAGTTTGCCCAGACATGTCCAAACTTAATGAGTTAAACTTGCTGGCCATAAGTGTTATCAAAAAGTGTCTTGATAAAGTGACTGAATTGATATCTTAAGGATTATAACTTTAACTTTAAGACTAAAAACAGCAGATCTATATTTAGAAAGTTTGAAGAAGTGCTTTGTAAGGACCCACGAGGCGGTTTCTGGAGAGCCAGTTTGAGGGCAGCTTTGGCCTCGTGGGAGCTTCCACACTGCTTTATAATCCAGACACAAGCTGGTGGAAAGTGCTAACACACAGCCTGCAGCCTCACCACAGAGACCGCTGGCTTTCATTCAGTCCCTGTGATTTTATCATTTGAAGTGAACATGGGTGGCAGAGTCTTTGATTCAGCTGCTTTTATCCATCAGAGTGAGGCTGTGGAGAGAGGGAGGGAGGGGGAGGGAGGCTGAAGCTTTGACAGAAGCCTGTTCTCCATCAAATCAGAGACACTGGAGGATGGAAGTGAGAGGACGAGAGAGGAACCACAGAGAAGAGAGAAACAGCAATAACCTCCCTGTGAAAACACCACACCATGACAAACTGTTAACAGACAACAACTCAGTCACATTTAACAGGATTGTCTCAGCCCTTCATGGTTGTGAGCAAACAGTCTTTAAATTAACAGCTACTGGAGGTCAGAGAGGGGAGGGCTGGTTAGCTGGGGCTCTGGCACAGCCCTGTTTCACCAAGTGACAACTAGCAGGTGTTGATTAGTTTGATTAGAGTTAGAGACAGTCTGCATGCAGGGCTGTAACCATGGGGGTAGGGATGGGGTGTTAGGGAGATGATAAAAGACAGAGGAGGAGGGAGACGCATGAGAAATGTGAGGATAATGTGTCAACCCTGATCGTCTATAGGAAACAACATCGGCCATTCAGAATCAGTCCTGTCTGTGGTGGGATGGTGACGTGGTCTGATTGATCCAGCTGTGGATCCACCAAACAATCCAGGACCCCACAGAACCAATCGATAAGTACCCCCACCCCAGCTGTAGCTGTTAGCTGGGGTGAGTCTGTGTATTTACAGGTAAACACACAGACTGCACTGGACTATACTGGACTGTGTTGGATATTGTGCCCAAACTATTAGGAACATGTCATGTGCTGCGATGCTGTACCACAGAAGAGGTGAAAACTGGTCTTGTTGCTGGTGAACTTTGAAACCTTTTTTTTTTTTTTTTTTTTTTAAATGATAGATTTTAACAGACTTTAAAAGTTTTACTAGACATGATAATAAAATGAATGAACCAGTGTCTTTAATATAATATCAATAATACAATACATATTAATAAGAGTCAGTTGCTGTTGTCGCTGAAGTTAATACAGAACGCTGAAGCTAGTGAACAGTGTAGTGGTGATTCAGTGGACAGACAGCTGTAACACTGTTAAGTCAACTCTGAGGATTAATCCATGACAATCTAATCTAGACCTCTGTGGGCGGGGTAATTTGACGGTAGAGATTTAGAGATTTAGAGACTAAATATCTCGTCCCTCCCAAAAACTGGAGATTCTGATGGAGGAAGTAGTCGTGTGTTAAATGGGTCAGCTGCTGTCTAAAGACACATTTAAGGTCCTGTAAAACTGCTCTGGTTTTACAAATTCAAATAAAAAGTAAAAAAAAAAAGAAAAAAGACTGCACTGGTTTTCAGCAGCAGGAAGTGGACTACCTCTGATCCTCCAGTCTGTGTACCAGCCAGACCTGTACATGACCCAGACTGTAAGACCACATTTATCTGAGCTGTTTGAGGTGTCAGGTTGCATAGCTTTAAATCTACTGAATGAAGAATGATTTATTCTGTTTCAAATGACAGTCTGACTCATAGTAAAACTCAACATACTCACAGGTTTCACTGCCTCAGTCTCACTTGGTCTGGTATGACCAGGAGCATGTGATGGCTAATCTTAGCTAATGTTAGCCATTGTTAGCATGTTATTAAGATCTGTCTGTTTGTGGGAATCAGTCTTTGTGTACAGCTGTTTGTTACTGCACAGACCAACAATTCAACAAACATGGAGGATGACATTTCCTGTGTTGAATAAATATTTCATTCAAATGAATCTGTGTCAGTTTTACTGTCATCAAGACTTGAAGAGGAAGTTGTCCTGGAAACGGCTTCTAAACCGGACATAGCTACACTATCTATCACACCAGTTTCTACCTATTCACTAAAAACTTCAATAAGCTTTATGTAATGAGTCTCAGAACATTAATCCCATTTCCCTCTTCTGTACCACATCAGTAGGGACTTTAAGCAGCAACGGTTACAGTGCCCGTTTACCTTCCAACGCATTGCCATAGCAGAGGAAATCAAAGATCACTAAGCAACACTTAACACCAACAGCAGCTACTTCACTGCTTCAGGAAACCGAAGTCATCTCTTAAACTGACCTCTTGATATTTGCTTTAGAGACAATTTAAAATCAGATGAGGAGTTTGTATAAATCAGTCTGTTACTTCAGCACCAAGGACAGCGTCATGGTTTCATCAACTCAGCACAGTGAGGTTGTGGGCTGGAGAGGGAGGATGGAGGTTAACAACAGTCTGTGCTGACATGTCTATGAATAAACTGGAAAAATCTGTCAGATTATCATGTATCTTTAACAAATATACCCATAATCCATAAAACCACTAATGGTATAATTGAATATAAACAAAATGACTATGTCAAATATGACAGAAACGTATAATTACCTGCTAACTCTTTAGCATATCACAGGGTATGGCAAACTAGTCTTTCTCTCGTAGTAGACAGCTGGGCTGCAAGAAGTATTGACATAGAATCTACTGTACGTCATTGCATCATGCCGTAGCCGTCCCTTCAACCAACACTGCTTAAAGTCCCTAGTGTGTGTTAGAGGCTGCAGCAGCATCTGTAGCCGATCCAGCAGTGAGAGCGAGGTGAGAGGTATCAGTGTGATACGTGTGTGTGTGTGTGTGTGTGTGTGTGTGTGTCTGTATGAGATGGAAATGCAGCAGAGAGATGAGAGTTCAGATTCCCCACCTGGACAAACAACGGCGAGTTCTACACTGTTAGGACAAATCATTAATATGTTATTACACTGAAAATTCAAGGAGCTTCTTACCCACTGTGTGAGCCACGCTTTGTCATGCAACTCTCTGTGTTCACAAAAATAAACCATCATCCTTTGTCTCATGGTTGAACATTAAGACATTAGAAGATAGAACAGCTTACTGACTTCTTCTTCTGGCAACATTCATCTTCTACACTTAATGAATCACACAGTTCAAAGTACATACGGATTAAAATGTGTTTATTTATTCAGGAAAATGAATGGTAATAAAGTTAAAGATTTAGAGCAGTATAAAGAGAAGTGTGAAAGCTTTACAACTTAGTCAGGGTGTGTCACAGCCATTATACAGAAAGGCAACAGACTGTCACACATGCTGTGTGTCGGGGTCCTTCATCTAAAAGTAGGACATATTATCTGGAAGAGAAAACACAGACAGAGATGCACTGAGCGATTACAGGGATCGCCTCTGCTTGATGAGCACGTTCACATCAATACCATCAGTTTCTGGTCAGATTTAAACATGAGGGGTACTTCAGACCACAGTGAGGTCCAGATCAAATTCAGACCTTCAGATGACCCCCCCACCCCCCACCCCCTCTGACTGATACATGGTGACTGAACAGCTGCAAGAAGAAGACCTCTAAGTTTCAGATGGTATTTTTAACTGTCTCAATCTCAGACATTTTAACTGTTCTACATGTAAACACAGTTACAATACATCTGTAGGTGTAAGTGTGAGACAATCTGCCTTAACTATAAATCCTTGATTTCCTTATACTGTGTTTTTTTGTATGGAGGCTCAAGTGTGTCACATAATATAATTATCAACTTTTTCAGTTCTTAAAATTCATTAACTTTGTCATTACAGTTAGATTTGTATTTCCAAGAAATATTAAAATAATGATTAATACTGAAATTGTTTTTTTATTTAATAGATTTGCCTCCATGCATTTATTTATTATTCAATACATTTATTATTATTTATTATTCCTGAGGCTGAGAGGAAAAAAATGTCTCTGAGTCCTCGACTTATTGCAGGAAGCAAGTGGTGTGTGGTGGATGAGGAAGGTGGGAAACGATCAGGAAACCAATTTAGAATGTGACAGAGTTCAAATTTCTCTCTATCATCTCTGTAAATCTTAAATATGGATGTGATGTTAAATCTTAAAAGCTGGTGCTCGGTGCACAAATGCATTCTGGGAGGAGGAAGAAGACCATTTCCTGTTTGACTGGAAATCATTTGGTGCACATGTTGTTTCTAGATAATTATCTCATGTTTATTTCATGGTGTGTTGAATGTTGTTGCTCTGTCTGATGATCATTTCATTCCCATCTAGTGAATCACTGTTTTAACAAGATCATTTTATGAATCACCACCATCTACAAACTCTACTGACCTTTGATAAACACCTGTCATTGTTCTGCTGACACACTTCAACCTCCACAGCAGGTCTGATTGCATTGCACAGAGCTAATATTACAGGTGCAAGTACCTGACTGATCCTGACTCTACTCTCAGCCTTAAATCATACTGAGACTCAGACCCAGAGCCGTGTCAGAGTTTGATGGAGTAACACAAACATACAGGCTGTAGTCAGTTATGAGGTCTGATCAGATCAACATGCAGTGGTCCAGGTGAACTGTGACTACTGAAGGTTATTAGTTATCACCAGATTTAAGACTTAACTCTAAATACAAACACTACAGCAATAGTCACAAACAGACCATGTGTTGTCTGTCATGTCTAACTCTGTGAGTTAGGCCGTGCGCTCAGTGACTCACCGTCATTATCAGAGTCAGAGTCTGCCAGGGGGGGGATGCGGACGAGGATCTGGCGGCAGTCTCTCTGGACCACCAGCTGCAGCTTTCCTCTGGACTTCTCTATCAGCTTCCCAGCATCATGCAGAGAGAGGTTCTCTGTCACTGTCCCATTGATCTACACACACACACACACACACACACACACACACACACACACACACACACACGTTATTATTATTGTGACATACAGTATATACACACTCGGTTATCTGTTGTATGTAACGTGTAGTTGTTGTTGTATTGATCTCCATGAAGCTGTTTTGTACATTTTAAATGTAGATAAAAAAGTGTGTTGTTATATATTACAAAACTGTTTTTATGTTACACATCATCTGTGGAGTCACTTCTATTCATACTCGACTCTGTCCACACCCGGTCTGAAGACATCATAAGTCTGTTACAGTAAAAACCTGTCTGTGTGGTGGAAGATTTATTGTTGGTTTGTACTGTAAAACTAGAACAATAACAAGATCAGTTGTGCAACATGAGCCTGACATAAAGTTTTTAATATTATTACTAATGTATTACTCATTTATTTATCATTTCTAGGGCTGAACGATATACAAAAAAAAATATCACATACACGTGATCTAGAGATTCGGCCTCGCGCTTATTTTTCACATGCCTCCCAGCAGAGATAGACAGAAAAGAAGACCAGTTGTTGTCATATTGACATGATACCAGCATCATTACATAAGACTGACACCTTCTAATACAGTTAATAATTCAGTCTAGGCTGAATCTGAATATGTTACAGACATGGAAAAATATAAATATATTTTTAACCATTTTAGCATCTGCATGTGGAGACAGTGGGATTTTAGTGACATTTTCTGTCAAAAATAAATCAGAAATTAATTAATAATAAAAAGAAAACCAACATTGGAGAAACCTGCAAACGCTGCGTAGAGAGATAGAGATGCAGCAGCAGTGACGCAGTAGACACACTGGATGTGTGGCATGAGCGTGGCGGCTGCGTCGCTGAACTGCTGCGGAGAATCATGCGTGTGTGTTCACATCGGCTGCGTCTCTGCTGCTGCAGCTCTCTCTCTATACATAGAGTTTGCAGGTTACTGGAATGTTGGATTTCTCTTCATTATGCTCCAAAGTCACGACAGTATTCAGGGTTTTATAATTTAAAAAATAAACATTAGTTAACAACATAAAGTCACTATAAAAAAGATGTAGTGTTCTCATGCAGTGTCTCCAAACTCTGATTAAACACCAAGTTAAACCGCGGCCAATGAAGATGCAGAGTCAGTAGGATTAACCGTTTACTGTAAGAATTCTTCACTGGCGAGCTGGTGAAAACTGAGAATAAACAATACGAAAACAATAAGTATCTGTGCTTATATATTACATTGTACTTAGCTGTAAAAGAGTTTTTAATTAACTTATTAAACATCACTTTTTTTTAGAAGAATTACTAATATATTATTTTTAACTATTGTGAAATAAATGAATTTACTGCATTGCCTTTATAATGCTTCATTATGGATGCATTTAGATAATATTCAGACCCTTAACAACATGTCTGCCACATTTTACCTCAAAACAGGAAGTGACAAAAACTGAAATAACATGATCAGAAGTGACGTCATCACTTCAGAAAATCAGCATTATCTTTTTACTTAAACTGCAACTTCATTATATATTTCTCATTTTTCAGCAGAACGGACCTTTTAAACAGACCTATTTTTTTGTGATTAAACCTGTTTATTGCTTTTTTCAGTTTACAAACAAACATTAAAGACACAAAAGTTTCACTCATATAAGATATAACATGCATATTCTTCATAGTGTGATACAGTCTATTAGACATCTATATTACACTTTATATTCGTCCATTGAGCATAGACCATTATATGATTGAAAAAGAGTAGGGATGCAATACATGAATATCATCTGTCTTGGCGATCACCTCTCCCTATTGCATTCAAATATGGGCCAAATATCTTCCTAAACACATCTAGACTGTTATTAACCCTGTGGATAAGCTCATAGGAAGCCATCTTAGCCATTTCATCCCTTCATTCATTAAAACTGATACACTCTTTTCATTTCCAATGCCTTTACACTATTCTGCTTACTGTTATCAAGGCTCCTGTAATCAAGAGCACACCTTTGAGGACAAATTCACTTCTAATGGCAACATACCCAATATGCATATTGCTGGATTCACACTGAGATCTGTCTCTAGTATGTTATCAATACAGGTGATTATTTCTAACCAGAAGTTATGCACCATTTCACATTCATATAGCATATGAAACAGTGTGCCCCTGCCTTTGTTGCATCTCCAACATATATCATCATTCCTAAGCCCCAACCTTGACATTTTTGATAGAGTCCAATAATTCCTGTTCAGTAATCTAAAAAAGATAAGGCGTGTCTGCATGTCCTGGGCTATGGAGAACCACAGCCCAAAATGTTTATCCTTCCTAACAATGAGAGACCCAATTTTGACCAATTTAGCAGATTACTTTCTATTTTTTGGATAAGGGGTAGCCGATTTAAATTCATTATATTGTTCAATCCTGGAGAGGAGCCATTTAAATTGCCAATTACTGAGAATGCTCTGGGGTCATAATTTGGATAGGGGCATAGCCTCAGACTTTGACCAATTAATCTTGTATCCTGATATTTGTGAAAAAGAACCAATCAGAGATGAAATCAGTGGTACTGTATTTTCTGGGTTGCTTGACAGGAGTAAAATATCATCTGTGTACAAAAGCAACTTGTGGTCCTTTTGCCCCTGAAATTTAACAAATTTAAAATAACCAGGTCACGTGACCGGTTGGACAAGATGGGGGGGGTCACCTAAATTCAAGGCAGGTTAAATGGTGCACCAACACCACTGCAATAAGTTTTGTTTTATTTTAGAAATGTGTCATATGGAAATTTTCAGTTACAATGTAGAATTAGTAAACTTTAACAGTGGCATTGGGTGTTTTTAATGTACAGTTCTCCATTCAAGTTGCCTGCGCCTTGTTATATCACTGGTGCACTGGTGGCGTTTCATATTTTAACATTGGCACTTTATTTTGTTTTATACATTTCTACACTTGCCTTCTGGTAACCTCTTGTTAAATGATTTGTACATCCACTGTCCAAACATAGTTATATGGCTGTTCTAAATTGTTTTGCTTTGTAATCTCATCTGAGGGGATGTGATGGGCAGCTGACCTATTGTTGCCCATTCCTTCTGTGGTCAGAAAGCCAAGTATGTCGGTGGGTGTAGTGTTCAGAGCTTCTTCTACTTCTTTTGGGTGGGCGATGTGGGTGGGTGGGGGACTCTGTTTTCCTTTTTCAGTAGTTTTATGTTGTAGAAGTGGTTACAGGTTGAATACTTCTGTATGTTTTTTAACTGATTGCGAGGAAGGGACCTAACTGAATTGTGATGATTGTATGCATTGGGTCATGTTGCCTGATGGTCGCGAGTGTTGTACTCATGTGTTTACTGACCTTCACCTTTGAACCAGTTCTCGGAATTTATGACGGAACTCAATATTTTGAGCTGGAATTCAGGTGGTCTGAACGACTTGTACGCTAGGATTATTACACAGGAGGAAAATTGACATTGCATTGCAGGGTGTCAGATGCCTTGCTAATAAATATTATCATGTCATAGCATCTTCTTCATCCTGCACTAAAACCAAAGGTGTAGCTATTGTAGCCAGGTGCAATGGTCAGATAATGCAGGCAGACTGATTATACTCAAAGGGAAAATTAATGGCAGAAGGTCCGCCTTTGTGTATGCATATGCCCCAAACTGGTATGACCAAAGTTTTTACAGCAATCTGACAAATGTGATGCTGAAAAAAAAACTAAAAAACAACTGGCATCATCTGCTCTACGGGCTTGGGCATATGCCTTGGGACTTGCTGATCCGTGGCAACCGACCAATCCATCAGTAAAAGATTATTCTTTTTTTTCTGCCCGACACAAGTCCTGCTCAAGAAGTGATTACATATTTGCATCCCCCAAATTTTCTCAGGGCGCTCACAATGTGTCTTTACTTCCCATAGCCCTTTTTGACCATAAAGGTGTGCTCTGCTCAATGGTGTTTAGCAGCATATCCTCTCACGCACCAAAGTGGTGCTTTAATACCACGCTGTTGAATTTTTGTCAATATTGGCTCGGTTGATGATCCTAGGATACTATGGGTTAAATTAATTAAAGGTTTTATCAGGAGAAATACAACACAGTTTGCCTCCAATCAACGCAAATCTTGTCTATCCCAACTGCAAAAATTAGAGGACAGTTTGACTAAACTAGAATTGGCACTAGTACCTAACTATTCAGAAGAAATAGCTCTACAATGTGAAGTGGTCAAAAAGGAAATTAATATTATTCTCAAACAGCGATCTAGGTTTCTAATTCATAGGACCAGGCAATGATATTACTCCCATAGTTCAAGACCCAGCCATTTACTTGCTATTAAAATGAGATCAAGCAATCAGTTTTCAGACATGTCCCCAATTAAAACACAGACAGGAGCCATAACTACTGATCCCACGCAGATTAATGATACCTTTTGTAATTTTTAGTCCGACAAGAACAAATATGACGACTTTCTGGCCCAATCAAACATGCCTTGCCTCACTGAAGAAGATGCTAACGATCTAGCAAGACCGATTTCATTCAAAGAACTTAAAGCGCAGTTCTCAGTATACAGAGCGGCAAATCGCCAGGGCTTGATGGCATACAACCAGAGCTATATTTGACCTTTTGGGTCATCCTTGGGCCATTGCTTCATTGTATGATCAGTTTTTCTAAAAAAAAAAAGAAGTGCTTTCTCTAGAGACGTAAAAATAGCTTTGATCTCCTTGCTCCTTAAAAAAGACAAAGACCCAAAAGAATGTAGTAAATAAAAGTCATTAAAGCCCCAGAAACTGTCCTATGCCTTGATGCGATGAAGGCATTCAACCAACTTGAGCGGCCTCTCCTATGCTCAGGTTTAGGAATGTTGGGCCTTGGAGAAGGTTTCATAAAATTGATTAAAGTATTATATTCAAACCTTTCAGTGATGGTGTTTACAGGTAATATCTGCTCCCCTTTTTTCCCAGTTTCTAGATCCTCTCTCCAAGCCTGCCCCTTAAGTCCCAGACTCTTTGCACTTTTGCTTGAGCCCTCGGGTCAGATAATTCAACAAACTAATTACTATCCATGGCACACTGCACCATCTGACACTTTACGCTGATGACGTTTTAGTTTTTCTTGAGGACCCACTGCAGTCTGCACCCCGTTTACTATCAACACTAGATGAGTTCGGTGCGCTATCAGGATTCAAACTCAACTGGTCAAAATCAGCTCTCTTACCATTGAATGAAGCAGCTAGGACCACATCTCTACCCTCTAATATTCCCTGTGTTCAACATGTCCGATATTTAGGTATTGAAATATTCCCCACCATAAATCGCACTGTTAAACATAATTGCACTGAGACTCTGGATAAGGTTTTAAGTGATCTAGAAAGGTGGGCAAGCTTGTGCAACTCACTCCAGGCAATGATCTCAATTATTAAAATGAATGTGTTGCCCAGAATAAACTTTGTCAGCGCCATGATCCCCCTCTCTACCCTTGCTGATTACTGCAGTAAACTCCATGCATTTGGAATGGGAAGCCTCTTCTGTCCAGCAGGGAAAGTTGGACAGAGGCTTGGCAGTGCCCAACTCTTCCACTCTCAGACCGCTAACCACGTGGTTTCACTCTCATGCGACAGTCTCGTGGCAAGCAATGGAGGAAAAAATGGTGCATCCTTGGTCTTTATCTGATGTTTTATTTGCAAGTACCCCTATGAGGCAAAGTCAATTACGATCTATTACAGGTGTGGCGCTCAGTAGAAAAGTTTTGTAATATTTCCTGCAGATGGCATCTTCATTCCCCAATTTTTAATAATCAGGCCCTGTTGATTGGGCGGAGACCAGCTACTTTTTCTCAGTGGGAAAACAAAGAAATTTATTTACTAGGTGATATCTGTGATATAGAAGGATTACACGCCTTTCAGGACATAAAGAACAATTTCAGTCTACCAGGCACATCATTCTCTTTTTACTTACAACATGGCGTACATTGGCAGCATTCATTGCCTACAAACCCACTTCACAAGCTGATTGTTACAAAATGAGCCCCAAGAGGCATCGTGTCCACATTGTAACAACTTCCCTGAAGTAGGATACGAGTTTGATTGGAGCACAGTATGGAGCAACATTAGGCTTGCTTCGAGGAATCCCGACCATCAACAGATTCATTACAACTTTGTACACAGGACGTACCCGACACCCCGAAAGACATGTCTTATGAAAGTTATTAATAATGACTTGTGCACCTTATGCACATTAAAGACACATTAAAGGGAGTGTCCCTCTGTGTTAATATGTGGCAATCACCGGCTGAGAGCCGGTCCTACTGTGACTTTTGCATCTCAAGATTTATTATCTGTCACAGCCCTCGTCCAACCCAGTATCAATAGCCATCCAGCAGGTTCATATATAAGCTGTACCACAAGTGTGTTTTTTCTTCTTCTTTTTTTTCCATTGTTGTTGGCTCTCTCTAGGGTCTGTGGGTGGGTTACTTGATGTTGATATTTTGCCTTGTTGATTGGCTGTGCATCGCTGTGTTTGTGTTCATTTTCGTTAAGATAAACACACTTGATAATAAAAAATTTCAACAAAACCTTGTCATTTGGTCTGAACACATCGCATCAGAGAGCACAATGTATGTTTCCATTGTTACACGGATGACATACAACTGTACATCTCTGCTGAAATGAATGATGCTGCAGCTATAAACTCCATTACCACCTGTCTTCTAGCAATAAATAAATAGATGAGCAATAACTTCTTAAAGTTAAATGAGGACAAAACTAAAATCCTACCAGTCGGCCCCAAAACAAAAAGAGAATTGCTGTTCAATAATTTGGGGAACTTCACTTTTTGCAATGTAGTATGCCGTCATTCCGAACTTCACCCCACGTGACTCCTTAAACAGACATAATTAAATTAAATAAACACCCCTAGGGCAGCACAAAGATATGTTTTTCTCTGGCTTCCTTTAACTGTCTACTGATCCCTCAGGTATCTTAAGAGCCCTTGGAAGGTCCCAGGACCCTATGTGAGAACCACTGTTCTAGATGACGATTATGTGGCTGTACAGTGAGTGAATGTGTGAGCACCTTGAGAATGATGTCTCCCTCCTGCAGGTTCCCATCCTTCGAAGCCAGACCTGTGCTGGTCATCTGTTTGATGAAGATCTGACTCCCCAGACGCAGCCCATACTCTACAAAAACACAAACACATCACACATATCTGTGCATTAGGCTCAATGAGAAGTTTTCAGATAAAACACATGAGCTCAGAGAGCAGGTGAGAGGTACAGGATCAGGTCTTCTCTGTTAAAAACCGAGGGACAGTTGTTCAGTCAGCTGTGATGTCAGTCTCACATGAAGGGGATGTTGTGTTTATGCATGAGGCCCCTCCAGGTCTTTGTGTTTTATTACTGGTGATGGTTTTAACACATTCTCTCATTATCATCAGTGATGTGGTTGTTCTGAAGCTTAGTTCAATCAGGAAGACTATCTCCTTTCCGCTTCCTTTCAAACTTCTCCTGTTTTCTCCATCTCTCAGCCCACTCCTTGTAAACAGCTGACTTTGGTGTTCAGCAACCAATCAGATTTGCAACCGAACTCTACAAACACACTGTACACACAATGTACAGTATTTGCTATAGTTGCAGCCTGTCTATTGAATTGTCTCACTCTGAGGAAAAATATTGCCCTGTTAGAGGAAGCGTCAGACGATCAGCTGACTGGCCTCCATCATCAGATGTCATGATAATCCATTCAACAGATGCTGAAATATTTAAACATGGACCAAAGTGTTGGACCCACAGACCTGCTAGCATGATTAAACTGAAACATACACACAGAGCTCCAAACTACACACCACACACATCTAGGGCAGAAGCCTTGTAGAGACAAGCACCCTCTCTGACCAGTGATCACAGATCACTTCAGACCTGGTCAAAGATAAAGATCCAATAGACACAGAAAACAAGGAAATCCAGACAAACATTTACTCTCTCCTCCCCTACTGTATTTCTCCGGTGACCAGGGCCGGTGTCCACAAAGCATCTTAAGGCTAAAAGTAGCTCCTAACGATTTAGGAGAAACTCCTAAAAATAATGGCAGTGTCAGTCCTAACTTTAGCACTCCTAATTTTTTGGAAGTGATTCACAAAGCCACTTAGCGCTAAAAGCAGCACCTAAGTCTGAGAGAAGTTAAAAGTAGTGGAGAGGACTCCTAACTCACTAAGACCAGATCACAAAGAATCTTAAAGGGCTGCTGTCATTCCACATCACAGTGTTCTAGAAACCTTACACGATGCTGAATTACTTAAAAGATACAACTCAATCACGAGGGAATAATGATCGTTGTGGAGTTTGTGACAGAGGCAATAACATCTCCTAGCAACCGAAACAACCTGATTAGTGCGTAAATTAAGTGTTTGGCAACGCTGCGCTAATTGGCAACAGAGAAATGCAACTTTGTAATGCTGACAACTTGGAGATCTCCTAGCCATCTGTAAGGTAAAAACGTTCACCTGGACTCAACCCGATTAGATTTTGGTAGTCAAAGGTCAAAGGACAAGGTCACAGGGACCTTGGAAAACAATTTTTAGCCTTAACTTAAGACTTCACACAGCAATTTTGATAAAATTTCACACAAATGGCTCATATTTTCTATGATTCTGGATAAACAGGGATGTAACCTGAAACTAGTCTGAGTGGAGGAGGCAGACAACCACAAGGAGGTGATTCTAGTTTTTCAGTGTTTTTTATTATTATAATTACTGCAGGATGTTGCGCATGCGTTTTCACTGGCACAGACCGGTCTTTGATCAACCAATCCCTGTGGTTCTTGCAAGCAAGCTAATTCATGAGAATTGACATCAGCCATAGCAACAGAGTCAGACTCAGGGGTTTTTACTTTTCCTAGTAAAAGTTGATCTCAGCAGCTTTGTGAAGAAGATTTAGGAGAAAACTTTTACTAGAAATTTTTAGTGCGACTTAGAAGTACTCTTAGTTGTAAGATAAAATGCGTTGTGGGCCAGATCTGTACAATGTTCTTCTGCTCGGTGACAATGAACACACACACCTCTGTACAGTCCAACACAGTCCCCTACAGCAGCAACCTGTGTTCAGACAGATGTTTCAGAGGCTGCAGGTAATGGTTCCACTGGACTGTATAAGGAGCCATGTTAAGATTGTGTTGTTATTTTGAACATGTAAACAAATCAAACTATGATTGTTGTGTTTCAGTGGACATCAAGACACATCATTTAAAATGAGAGACAGTGACAAACTCTGTCTCTCGTTTCATCCCAGTCACACAGTCCTCTGGTTACATACAGTTAAACACTTGGCAGCTGTGTGTTTGTGTGTTTTACCTTCGTTGGGTCTGTTCTTCACCAGCAGGACGTTGACAGGTTTCTCCAGAGGCTCTAGTTCTCTGGAGGGTTCGGGGGATGGAGGGTTGTCATTGAGCCGGTCCCTGCTCCTATACCTCCGTCCTTTTCCTCCTCCTCCTCCTCCTTCTCCTCGCTCGTACTTGTCTTCCGTGTGGTAGCTGTCCCCGGGGCTGTGTCCTCGGCTGCGGTACCTCTGACGGTCCGCGCTGGTGTCCAGGGCCCGTTCCCGGCTGCCCTCCCTCCTGGATCTGTCCGGGCTGGGTGAGGTTCTCTCCTGGCTCCTCCTGCGGCTCCTTCCTCTCTGGTTGTAGTCCTGACCTCCCCTGTACTCAGGGTCCAGGTATCCTTTGCTGTCAGAGGTGTGGTCCCGGCCTTCGTTGCGGTACCAGCCGTTGTCATTGTCGGCGTCGTAATAGTGGGTGGAAGGAGTGTACTCCCAGCTGTCTCCACTGGGGGAGGGGGGCTGCTTCAGGGAGTGAACCACCTTCCGAGGTCTCTTCACTGTCTGACAGAGAAAGAAAAAACACAGAACAACCCTTTAATTCAAAAGGTTAGATCAGCTGTTCCCGACCACGTGGTCTGATATACCTCCACAGACCAATCAGACGAGCCAGAGGACTTCACCGACAACACTTTTTCACAAACCTCTTCTTTTCTACACAATGTGATTTAACGTGCTGCCGATTATATAAGAATGTGTTTAATTATATACAAGTGTGCTTAATTGCATGTTGTTTCATACAAAAAAAAAAACTCAGCCTGGACTTCTCCAACAAATGTCAAGTTTGTATTCAGATATTCGTTTTCTTTTTGGTCTCTATGTAAAATGTGTTAATATGTAGAGCTGCTCAGTTACCACCAACATTTCATATAAATAAGTTGCTAGTAGTGCTTGATCACTTGTTGGATCTTAGTGCAGAACATCATGACTTTAACTACATGAACCGGCTCTGAGATGGAGAACATGGTTCTCTGCTCAGAGAACCTGCAGAGCTGGAACCCAGTGGAGTGACTGTTGTGACTGTGCAGGTGTAGCTTCTTCCAGACTCCCATGTAAGTGTGTGAGAACAGGGTCTTCAGGAGAAGCATCCACCCAAACACCTGAACACAGGAGACACCACATCCACCCACACACCTGAACCCAGGAGATACCTCCGCCCAAAGACCTGGACAGAGGAGACACCACATCCACCCACACACCTGAACACAGGAGACACCAGCTCCCCCCATAGGTTTATGATTCACAGGGTTTTTTATAGCACGTTGAGTTACTATGGTAACAGACAACTGTGAGTCATGTGACTAGTCTCACCAAGAGCAAAACTGCATATTTAACATGTTTATTAATACAGTGGCTTAAATGTTTATTGCCTATTTTTGCTTGTCAACATAATACATGAAATGTGTCTAATACCAATAACTTTGAGATATTATTAAGAAAAAAAAATGAAATGAATAAATCCAGAGGACAGACTCCAATTCCTGTTGATAAGAGTCAGTCAGTTTCTCTGTCTTTACTCTGTGTGTGGGTCATACTTACTATTTTGGCCACTTTGCCACATTTACGCAGCGACTGCACAGCAAAGGAGTGAGGCACGTTGTCCATGAGGATGGAGTTGACCTGAATGACACGATCGTTCTCACTGTAAAAAAAAAAAACCCACACACAAATAATATGAGATGTAGTCTTAGTCACAGTAAAACCAATAAACAGTCTTCCTTTGTGACAGTTTGTAATTCCACTAAGCCTGAAACACAGTGTTTGACCTCGACTGACCTCTGGCTCGTCAGGGCAGATAATCTGAGGGATAATGAAGTGAGTGTTTTTCTCTGGTTCTTCTGTCCAGTTGTTTAACTAGAATACACTGATGCAGGACAAGCTGTCTGAGGTACATGTATATTGAGGCCTTTTTCATGCGATTGAACTCAGAGCTAACATCTAACAGCTTAACAGCTAACTCAGCTGTATGGTACAAACATTCATTAGCAGCAGTANAAGGCCTTTTTCATGCGACTGAACTCAGAGCTAACAGCTAACAGCTAACAGCTTAACAGCTAACTCAGCTGTATGGTACAAACATTCATTAGCAGCAGTAGAAGTACAGGGTGATTTGTAATACATTTACATTTAATAATGCTGCAGACACTTTTATCCAGAGCGACTTACAAGTGAAGGCCATCACTAAAGCTCCAGTGCAGTAACTTGTGGTGGAGGTGTGGTTGTGGGTTGGACAGTTTAATCAGTAAACAGCTGCAGCTCAGTCCATTGAGGCATTTCTACTGAGGAGGATTATGGTCACTGTTTGACAGACTTACAAGAGTAATCCATCAGCTGGTCCTCCCTGCAGCACATCTGACACAATGATCGACGTCTCGCCATTCTCCATGTTGGGGTTGTCACGGCCACCTGACACAGCAATACCAAAACCCATCTTAGAGTCCTGCAGAGAGAGAAGCCGGGAGGTGAACACAGTGATTTTATTAAGGATCTCTGAGAACAACACTGAGACAAACAGAGAGTCTGAGCTGGTGTGGTTTACTTCCACCAGGCAGTTACACAGGTTTAAGGAAGGATGAATGGATGGAACTTATGAACTGACATATCGGTGAACAGTACCAACCATCAAACTCATTCTCATTAAAAAAATGTTAATTTCTTTCAAAATGTCACATTAGTTGTGTATAAGCCTAATTTCTATGAGACAGTGTTCCTGATGTGAGTGTGAGTGGTGCAGCTCTCTGTGGTGGCGTGGTCTTTCCAATACACTGTATTGACCAAAGAGTTCAGCGAGGAGAGGCAGCCTGAGGGTGGGTTAGTGAGGGACAGGGCAGGTCTATTTTTAGGAGAATGTTCATTTGTATTGTAGTAATGTGGGTCATGTATTCCACCGCTTGAGACACTCTGTAGTGAATGTTTCATTTAGATTCTAGGTAGTTTTTAACTGAGACGTATATCCATCATAGATCCTGGACCTCACACATGGATATCGTGGTGGACAGTGTGATGGATAATGTGGTGGACAGTTTGATGGATACTTTGTGGACAGTTTGATGGACAGTGTGGTGGATATTGTGGTGGACAGTGTGATGGTCAGTCTTATGTTCTGCTGTTTAACAAGTATAATTCACTCCCTCCTCCAGCCTACACTGTTACAGGAGAGGTACTCGGGACTGAGAGTTCATACACACTAGACTGACAGATACTGAAAGAGTTTAAGACTATATGAAGAATTTCATATCAGGATTGAGACTTAATTTATCAGTGTATTGGTTGGCCTCTGACACTTGAGGTTGACGAGTAGATAGATGGATGAATCAACTCACCCGCTGCAGAGTGACTGTGTACTGCTCCCAGACCATCTCCTCCATCCCTGAGCTCTGTAGAGACACAGACACAGCAGGGTTAGCAAACACACATAGTTCTCTGAGAATTAAGCTTAAGTCTTATCCATCCAATAATCAATAAACAGATTGGACTCTCCATAAATGATGATGACTCACTCAGACATACATTTATCAATGAATGAGATTCTGCCACACCTTTTACACTGGCTGCTATCCCTTGGATAACATGTAACACCATTGAGGGAAATGTTGGATCATTGATCAGAAGTGTGTGGGAAGACTGGATGTTTATGATTTATAGCAGGGTCCAAAAGTATGAGACCATTCACACCACTGAAGTGGATTTAATTCATTGGATTATCAAAAAAAGACATCCCTATCATAAACAGATTCTTCATACAGTTCCCACAAACTGCACTATATCAATATATATTGATATTGTGATATAAAATGAAACTGATAATGAAACAGCGTAACACTGTCTGTGGGAAAATGTGTAAATGTTACATGATCAAGGGCTCCACTGAGACAAAGTTATGTATTAATAACAACCTGCGTAAAAACCACACACACACACCAGAGGAACATGTGTGGGTGTGTGAACTGACCTCAGTGGGGGAACAGTCAGTATCAGTATATGTTAATAACAGTATCCTGCTTGTTGTCCTGTCTGTCTCACTGCCGGGCTGGTGTGTAATTTTAATTGGACAACTATTCCAGCAGGCATCTGCCCTCATCCCTTTCCACCTCATTGCACTCTCACACACACACACACACACACACACACACACACACACACACACACACAGTATGCTGAGCCCTGATGACACTGATGGAGTTGGGCAGCTCTGCTCAACTTCAGCTGCTTCTAACAAGAGTCGTGAATGAGAGACAATAGAGGACAGGAGGGAAAACTGGGGGAGGTGAAGAGAAAGAGAGGTTATCATGAAGAGATGTTTTCTCTTTTCTTCTTTTATGTTTCCCTTCATTCTGCCTCCTCTAGTTCCACTCATTAATTTCTGTTTTTCTCTGAAAGCTCTCATAACCTCCAGAGAACAGCATCAGCTAGTTTGAATCAAATGTGGGGGCAGAGAAAGACTGTCACCCACTACTGCAGAAATCCCCTCTGTGTGTGTGTGTGTGTGTGTGTGTGTGTGTGTGTGTGTGTGTGTGTGTGTGTGTGTGTGTGTGTGTGTGTGTGTGTGTGTGTGTGTGTGTGTGGTGTGCGCCAGTGAGTGACCATCTCCTTGTTGCTGTGTTGTATACTACACTGCATGTGGCTCAGATTAACCCTTTTCTTGAGTCTATCACTTAGCTGGAGAAGATCTGACTGGGATCAAAACATTGTTTAAATAAATGTGTGGTTTGGAGTCAGTGAGCAGCACTACAGTTATACTGAACGTTCAAGTACACGTGATGAGCTAAAACCTGCACTTTTGTCTAAAACCAGTTTTGGAATAGCAGTGAGTATAGTAGTTTCTTTAAAAGAGTAGATCAACAGCTCTGACATGAGTGCTGCCAGCTGATATCACTGTTAGGTGTAGTTACAGGTACAAAAAGGCACATTCTGACCACACCTCAGCTGTCAGTGATGCTGACTGCGCGCAGGGGTGAAGAAGGATTAAGATACAACATTTCAGTCAAAGACTTAATAATAAATAATAATAAAAACAAAAAAAATCCTGGGGAAATTTTGAATGTGTCTGCTGCTTGGTGCGTGTACTTCATTCCATACATTTCAATCTGTACAAAGGACGTTACTTTCAGTTTCATTCATCTCGTAGAGACTTATCGTGACACTGACCTCAGTCACTGCAGGTGACCCTCAAAAAGCCATTTGAAACCGTCACAACTGGCCGAAATAACCTCACACTGATGGTTTCTACCCAAATTTGTCCCCACAACCATAGCAAGACATGTATACACACATGTACATGCCCTAACAAAAGTTGATCTGCAATCAAGCTATACCACTATATCCCCATATAGACGCTTCTAAGATCGAACTTTTATTACCTACCTTACCTTTTTGACTCTTATTTTGAAAGTGTATCCATGTCGTTAAGATGGCGTGTCTGTAAATTTATGTGCATATGTGTTTGGCAGTATAAATTGCATAAGATTTTGTACAACAGAGCCAATGATTCCCTCTTACCATGTTGAGACTTTTAATTTGAAGGTTAATCCAAATCGTGCAGATGGTGTTTGTGTCTATATGTGTGTTTTTATGTGTAGCAGTAGAGCTGCCCCTTCAGTAAGTTCATTTTAGCTGGTTGAGGCTCTTATTTTCTAAGTGAATATCAAAAAACTAAGATGCTGTTTGTGTGTGTCTGTCAATGTCAATGTGTGTGTGTGTGCTTGTGTGTGTGTGTGTGTGTGTGTGTGTGTGTGTGTGTATGTGTGTGTGTCTGTCTATCACCGTGTATGTGTGGCAGTAGGGCTGTCTACCATAGAGCCTCCGAAAAGCTTGTGTTACCAGGTTGAGACACTTATACAGTAAATATCCATACGGTGGTAATGGTGTTTGAGTGCGTGGTGTTGGGAACTGCCAAAGCTTAACCTTCAAACAGCCCTTTGAAGTTGTCACATTAATGGTTTTTAACCAAAACTGTCGCGCAAAAAAAACACACATCAACATGCACACACAAGTACACGAAAATACACCATGTTGATTTACCTGTCTCATACCTGAGTTAAAAGGCTAAGAGTTAATGAGTCTAATTAGCCAATCAGAATCAGCTTTGCCCATTTCTGCCCAGTAACTATCAGTAGCACCTGCTAAGACACTGGTTGCTATGGCGACTGTGGCCACCAGGGGGAGGAGGGAAACACACACACAAACACAATCCCCTCTGTCTCCCTATGCAGACAACAGCTTTTAAGATGAAAATTGTGTTTGATAAAACACTGGGTAATACAGGACAAAAATCTCTACAGTTTTGATATAAAAAATTTTTTTTTCAGGGATGGCAGTTAGAGTGCGCAAGATGTCATCCACTCTAGCTTGGAACATTCTGTTCAATAAACACCCATTACAAAATCTGACCCCGTCTAAAAATTACACAAACCGTAAACTGCGATTTTGTGAAAACCATTATAGTTGTCAAAATGCTGATTTAACCCAAAAGATTCTTAAGTGTTGTGACCAGTTTAACGCTTCAACCATTTTTCAGCGTTGTAGTAAAGCAGTAAAGCTCCAAAGACGGCTGGTTTTGGTCGTTTTGAAAACGTCTCCTCATTCATTCTCTAAGGGAATTTTTTCACCTTTTATCGCCATTTACGTCGTTATTCAAATAGCTACAAAACGTCATAGCACACCATTCCCGATCAAGCCACACATATTGATATATATATATATATAGCTGCGTGACTAGTTACGAGCTGAAATTTCGATACAGAAGATGAATAAGTCGAACTTGAAAATGCATTTTCTGCTGAGAGCTGAATGAGATTGCTGAAGCAATGCTGAAGAAGCTGAAGCAACTGCTGAATTGATCAACCAATTACTTGCAGTTAGGCAACAAATAGTTTTAGACAGTTGTTGATTCAGTTAATCAATGTGGAGGATGTTTCTGTTATTTAGCCTACCTTCAGTGATAAAAATTGGGGGAGGGGGGGTCTAACAGAGGTCTATCAGAACCATGAGCGGACCATGAGCAACATCAGACCATGCATTAAATATGTAGATTTGGTGTTTCTAGAGCCAAAAATGTGGAAGCAGGAGCGAGTTACAATATTTGCTTTTCCTGGGAAATCAGCTCCTGAATTTGTTTTGCAGTCAATGGGAGAGGTGGAGGGTACTCCCATCACTGACTCACTGTACAAATTCTTTAAGTCTCTCTGCTTTTGTAAGCGCATTGCCTGAAAGAAGACACATTTTCCTACATTGTGGGGAGCAATGATGTGTGTAGAGTGGCCATAAGGATGAGTTATAGAAAAGTTTTTAGACAAGTTGAAGCGCCTCTCTCCATTCTAGCTATTTCATCACCCACTCTAACTCATGCAATACACACCCATCATAAACTCAGAAACTGTCCGAAAAAAGCATAAAACTGAAACTGTGATTAACTGAAAACTGTACAAGATAGCAAAAAGCTGTTTACAAGCTTATAGCTGAAAGCCTTGGGATCTGTTTAAAGTTAAAAAGAACTCTCGAGGTGAAAGTATGCTGAAGTTATTGCAGTTCAAAAAGGAGAAAGCTTTTCGAGGATATGAACATGCTGTCCATTCATTCCTATGGTAAAAAAATTGCATATAAAAATTCATATAAAATAAACTGTACATATTCGCCATAAGAAAAATATAAGCAGGAATCTCCTGGATACGCTGAACAATTTGTTATTACATTTGTTTCAATCACACTACAATTGCAGGGTTAGTAGCATGCTGAAAATCACATGGAAGAAAAAGCAGCATCAGCACCTGGACAGGTGTGGATGTACACATACAGACACATGGTTCACCACCTGTCACCTGTCTCATCTAGCCTCATTACTGAAGAGCTGCTTCAGGCTGTGGTCATACCCGTGCTCCATCCAACTATCACACTCATCATCACCCAGGGAGGGCAGACTACCACATGTTAAGACTTCACCATGTTAGTTTCCTGTTTCAGTTTGTGAGTGCACTCTCACTCCCTCCATTCACACACACACATAAAACATCAATGTTAATGTTCAGGTAAATGCCACCACACACACACACACACACACACACACACACACACACACACACACACACACACACACACACACACACACACACAGGTTTGTGTTATAAGGACTTTAAACTAATAAAATAGGGAAAGTCACAGATTTTTATTCTAGTAAAATACACTAACACAACAGAGACACTCCCTTAAAAGAATAATACAAAATGTTTAGTATCTACATCTCAAAGTACTGCATATTTACACACACAAACACACACACACACACACACACACACACACACACACACACACACACACACACACACACAAAAGAAGGACCCAAAAAATAGTAAAATAAGTAAAATAAGTGAGAGTACATTAT